GTAGATAAAACGTACATTTATAAATACAGCACAGGCATCAGAGTGTATGACTCGAGACATGAAAGCAAAAGACGAGTGGAAGAAACCAGGTTTTCCCTTTATATGCTTGAAAATCAAACAGTGGTCAACAACAGGTGGATTCTGAAGTGGCTCTCTGGCTTTAACAGAAACTGTTGACTATAGAATAAACAATGATATGTGTATATATGCATTATGCAATCCTCTCATTTTATCATCATAATTACACCAAAATATTCTTTAAAGTTTGAATATGTGCATCATAGCATGAATCTTTTTACCAGTGTTGGGTACTTTTAATTTGAGTAATTTGGACATGAACAGGCAGGACTTCAGCAGTCTGCATAGCTACCCAGTTTCAAAATAGCCCTAAAATCTTCCCGTTTGATTGATGAGCATTCAAACATTTGCTCTGCATGCTGACTATTGACAGATATTAGTTTAGCTGTGATATAAAATACCGTCTGAATGTACTTTTTTCTGAAAAACCCCGCAGGGTTCAATTCATCATATTTCAAAGTCTGATTTTCTAAGGAAATGTGTTCAGAGAAAACAAACACAGTAATTGTCAGCCGCTAGAAGAGGATCGTTTATCTAGTTGTGCACCAGCCCGATAAGCCAGCGCTACGCCTCGTGACGAGCACACTCAGCCTTTAGCTTATACATGGCCTTGTGGAGGCGATGCATGCCATACATGGTAGCAAGAATAAGCGACAGCCCTGCAGCTAGTAGAAGGATGTGAGAGAACATGAGGAAGCCAGCCAAAGCCGTGTTTGAGGGCAGAAACCACACGCACACCCAGCCTTTCTGATGGTTATGGTGGACAAACTCAGGCCCCGGCTCTATCACCAATATGCCATAAAAAGGAGGTGACATGTCCCGAGCAAATTTACCAATAAGTTCAGTGGAAAGTGATGCTGAGAGTGTTGTATGATCTGATGTGGTTGCTTTTACAGTCTGAGTGGTTATTTTGTCAGGGACTTCTTGGGTAGCTCCTCGAGTGGTTTGGATCGCCGCTTCCTTGGATTGAGTAGCCGTTGTGGGGGGGGTGGTTATGGAAGTTAAAGCTGATGTTTGTCCAGAGGTTGACAACATGTGGAGTGGTTGTGTTGGTGACCGGTTCAAATCTTGTAGAGGAAAACTCTTGGCTGTTGTAGCACTGCAAAAGCTGAACTCTTCATCATGCAGCGAGCCAACGGTACGCAGCAGCTGGTAGACTGGAGCGTGACACATCACGTCATCTCTGTCCCAAAGCACATGCTTATTGTGTCTCATCCATCCTGCAATGCCTCTGATAGCACAATTACAATCCCAGGGGTTTCCACTCAGAGTCAGATTAATCAAAGCTGGAAGAGACACGAAAATATCTCCTGGAAGACTGCTGAGGTTGTTATTGTTCAATAAAATTTCAAGAATGTCTCCTAGACCCTTAAAGATACCTTCTGGTAGGCCATACAACTTATTGTCATTGAGGTGAAGTTTGTTCAGGGTGGTTAGTTTGGAGAATAGCTGGGGATGAAGATAATGGAGGTTGTTGGATTTGAGCGAGAGCTTCTGAAGGTTTGGAAGACAGCAGAAAACATCTGGTGGAAGGTCCCTCAGATTTTCATTTAAATGGAAGTTCAGCATAAGCAGCCCAGACATGTTAGCGAACAAATTTCCAGGAACCGTGATGAGGTTGGTGGCATATAGATAAAACTCTGTCATGTCGGGCATGTGACCCATCAGCTCATCTGGTAGAGATAATAGTGGATTCTTGTAAATGGTGAGTTTGACCAACTTTGGCATGTGGTAGAAGCTCTTTTCTGGGATGGCCTGAAGTTGGTTGGCGGATAATGTCAGGTTTTTCAGGTTCCCCAGAGGCCAGAAGACTTTAGGTGGAAGGCTGGCAATCTGGTTTTGATGGAGTTTTAGCTCCACGAGGTTGATGAGTTCGTCAAAGATGCCAGTTTCTAGAAATTCTAGTTCGTTGTAATAGAGTATAAGCTGCTGAAGTTTAGTCAAGGAGTGAAAGATGGTAGGAGGAAGCTTCTTTATGAAGTTCCTGCCTAGATTCAGAAAGGTGAGGTTGGTCAGTCCTTCAAATATGTCTGAATCAAGACTCCTGAGTTTGTTGCGGCTTAGGTCCAGATCCTGCAACCCGCCCAGTCCTTCAAACATATCTGGATGAATGTTCTCAAACTGGTTCCCATCGAGATGCAGCTGCTCAAGAGCAGCGAGTGGACTGAACACTCGAGGAGGAAGGGTCGACAGATCGTTAGATGACAGCTTGACAGACTTGAGCTGGGGAGCTACGAGGAAAGCCTGAGGATGGACGGTGTGTAGATGACTCTTTATGAGACTGAAACGCAGCAGGAGGTCCAGATTTGCTAAACTTCGCTCATTTAGGACATTCATGTTTGTAACACTGAGCTGCAGCAGGTACGTGTGGAGAGGCAGAGGCGGTATATCAGTGATGGTGGAGCCAGTACACATGGCAGCGCCTTGAGAGTTGCATCGGCAGCTGCTGGGGCAAGAACTGCTGTGGGTAAAGTCTGGGATCATAAAGAGCACGAGCATCATCCACGTGGTGCCTGGGAAGTAAAAATAAAGCCAATGAGAGTCCAAATTTTTCTTTATTTCGATTTTAATAACTCATTTTAGTCATTTTATCTGTATAAAAGAAAACGTCTTTTATACAGATAAAAGACGTTTTATCTGTATAAAAGCCTGAGCCATTAGAGCGTTTTGAACATGGAGCATTTATTGAACCTTCTAATATTTCAATTAAATGTTTATTTTCATATATATTTTATATTTTTGCAATTTATTGCTTAAAATAAATTGTGCACTTGGGTTTTTCAGGGAGAAAAAACTGATGACTGAAGTCTTAAAAGCTTTCATGTATCAAATATGAGGCATTAAAGGCTTAAACTGAGTTAATGATGTAGCCAAATAATTATAAATACAGTAGTAATAGCAATCATAATGAAAATATTTTAAAAATGATGTTATTTCATAGATACATTTCAGAAGCATTGAACGTGGGGCGGAAAACCAACATGAACATTTGACTAACCTCTGAAGTAAAGATCCATCGCGGATGGTTTGCTCCCGAGCTGCCTGCTGCTCTCTGTGTTTAGACTCTCTGTCTGTCACGCTATCCAACCCCTGCTCCACCAAGACGTCTGCCCCACAGACATTATCTCATCCTTCATGCTGCTCAGGCCTTGAGATTAATTCTAGAGTTCAGCTATAAAAGGCAAGGAAGAAAACGTCAGCATTATGACTTTTGATTTATTCACTTTTCTGGATACTTTAATGCTGCAAATCAATGTAAAACTGATGTCATCTTAGTCTTCAGCGCATTTCATGCACTTTGTTCAGTTTGACTTTCCCAATGTGCAACATTTGTTTGGCTATTTGTTGACACATTCAGGCATGTTGATATTTTGAAAGCTGCCATCACAAATGTTGACTGACGCAGAGGGTGCTGTTTCATTTCCTGTGTACTGCAGCTCACGGGCTGCACAGAAACAGATAACGGCCATATCTGCAGCAGGAAGGTTTGGCCGTTTTGTGCATGTACTGTATTGTTACTAAACTAACAAAAGCGAGTAAAGCATACTTGTGTTCACATTGGTAGATTAGTGGGTGAACTCTAATTGTGTTTTAATAATAATAATAATAATAACTTTATTTATAAAGCGCTTTCAAAAAAAGTGCTGAACATCTCAAGTGCAAGCATTTTCAGGTTTGAGCTCACACTGTAAGACTCTGACCTTCTGTACAACATTTCTGTAAAGTGTGAGGTTAACAGTCAAAATCACAGCGAGGGAAAACCGTGCAGAGTCTTTACCTTGGGACAGATGTTTTGTTCTGGCAGTCAATCAATCAATACTTTATTTATATAGCACATTTAAATACATAATCCAGTTCCAAACTGTGGTTCTGTATCAATAATGGTTATCAAATGTTGTTATTAGTTTTGATAAAGCTGTATTTCATATTGTGTAGCACCAGGAGATGGATCATCGAGTGAGGACCAGTGTGGTGGACCGACTGTCAGACCAGAGTTGCAGTTCTTACAGAGAAGCTGCTGAGTGAGGATGAGTGTAAGGAAGCTCTGATGAAGCATTCAGCTGATGAAGACACAGTCAAGAAGAAGATGAAGTTGACATTTGTTTATCGGCACAACATGGTCCTTGACCCCCTGCTGTCCAGCAACATACTGTCTGTTTCTCCACGTAGATATCAAAGGCTTGGTGAATATTTGTGTAAACACACATTTTGTAGAAAGCAGATATGATTCTCTATCCCTGTTACAGATCGAACAGGATTATGTACTGATGTTTGGTGAGGATGTATCAGGATGTATCAGGCAGGTCGCTGGAGAGGTGGCCAACAACATTCAAAAGAAAGATTATCCAACAAGGCAGGAAGCTTCCTTCTACCACTGACCTGGAACTGGAAGTTAATGCTGACACTGGTGAGCTGTTGTTTCTTTGATTAGCACATTCACAGCATTTATAATGTTTGTCACAGAACAGCTGTCCTTTTGTCTTTTGGGTCTACTCAAACATTTTGTCAATCCAGATGCATTGAAATGTGTTGTTGATGATGATTCAACTTTATTAAAAGCAAATATGTTTGCAGGCTGGGACAGTGACCTCTCAGCGTTGCTTTTACATCTGACTCCACCATCGGGTCGCTAGAGACCAGGAAAGGTGTCAGCCTCTCAAGCAGAAAGATGTCTTCTGGTCTTCAAGAAGGTTTGTTTCTTTTCTATTTTTATGTTATGAATGACCAGTTTAAGAAACACTTGATTCTTATTGCCTGTCTGTATTTGTCTTTTCAGACTGGAACAAATATTCAAGAGCACCTTGATGCCGTCACTACCAAACTCCAGGCTGTCGGTCCCGCAGTGAAGCTGGGAACAGAGCAGCTGCTTGTTATTCTGCTCAGCGTCTGTTAGTTTACATTTTGACTGCACAGCTTTGAGCTTTTTGTTATGCACAAAAACAACATTGTTTTCTTTTATTTATGGAGCATTATTATTTAATAATTGCTGATAATTTATTTCTGAGTAGTTTCTTCTTGTACATCTGCGCTGTATGATAATAAAAGTGCCTGTGTGACATTTTTGTATTTTGAGCCTGACATAAAAATAAAGCTGTTGTATTATCTAGTTGTGGTTTTTGCTCACTTGTGTTATATGTAAAAGCATTATTAAAAAATATGTTTTCATGCTGCAAAACAGTAAATTGAGTGTAAAGGTAACACCACAGGAAGAGTTTTAGTAACACTACTTAAAATTTTACTCTATGAGAGATAATTTTTCACTAGAGATTAGTGTATGAATAACACAGAATAGAGCAGAGGTGTCAAACTCTGGCCTGCAGCCTAATTACATTAGGCCTGCGAAGCCATACCAAATTACTATTAGAGCTGGCCTACTGGTATTATACAGCTAATATATATATTGTTTAGTATTAAGCTTTGCTTGTTCCATATTCAGTTTTTCAGCAAAACTTGTTTGAGTCCATAAGAAAAGATTCATTCTTAAATCTGGAGGAAGATTTTTTTTTTTTCAATAAATATTAATGTTAGCCCGCGACCTTGTTCCAGTTTTGAATTTTGGCTCACTGTGTATTTGAGTTTGACACCCCTGGTATAGAGTAACATCAACTCTCATTAGTTATTTGAACCCCCAGTGTTAATTGCAAATAATTCAGTGTTAAAAATCAGTGGGATTTTACTCAAATAGAGTTAATTAATCACTAAGAGTAAATAATATGACACTACTAGTAGTGTTAAGTTGATTTAATACTATGTGTTACTCAGTGTTGAATTTTTACTCTATTTAGAGTTAATTTTACTCTAAAATTTTAACACTAGAAAGAGTTAATTTAACACCAATTCCAAATGGGACCAAATAGACTCGGGACCAGTGTTCAATTCAGCGGGGGGGGGGCTTTCTGGGCTTAAGCCCGGGTTGTTTTTTCAGAAGCCCGGGGTCTTTTGGAGTGTAATTCTTTCATAGTTAGATGCCTGGATGACACTGTATAAAACAAAAAACTACACACAATTTTGGAAGCACATTGTGGGAATTTACGACTGTGCGTAAACCCCCCCTAATATTGGTTTGATCCGAGCTCAGACACTGAGCGAGGGGGCGGGGCAGCTGCTGCCTGCGAGCGCGCTGTTGGAGAAACGCAGCGAGGCAGACAGAAAACGGAAATTGAGCAGGTACCAAAGCAAATCATTCGTGCTGTACAAATGATGTAAATATGACGGTGAATCACGAAAGATTGATGTCAAACTGATCACTTGACCCATATTACATTACTTGTTCTTCGAGAGAATCAACAAACGGAGAAATGAAAAGCCGAACAACAACAACAACTGTTTCTTTAGAGTCTCAGCTTACATGTGTTTGTTTCATATTTTCAGTTGTTTCCCTCCACGGCTAAATAAATCAGTAATGCACTGATACACAAGAATGGACATGAGGAGCTTCTTTCAAAGAACCAACTCTGGTAGATGTTATTTTATATATTATGGTTTGTATGTTGTTCAGTATATTTCTATGCAAAACAAGAGGAACTTCAGCACACAGCAGTATATTCACAGTTTAAACCAGATATTTACATATACTTTATTAACACGAGAACATTTTTTACTGTACAGCATCAATTTAGAGTAAACTTTGTTTTGTTTTAGATAAATAAATATTGAAATATCTTTTGAATGAGTTAAATGTCAGAATAAAGAGAGACAGAGCTGTGTATTTTTTTATCACTTTCATCAAATGTAGGAGCACATATACTCTTAAGTTTATTGTTCATTAATAAGAAAACTGCAGACGATTCTGAGCTGAAGAAGCTTCTGATTGGTTCGTAGAGTCCATGTGAGTAAACTGGTGGCACAGCTGTGGATGCATATAAGGCAAAACACAGAGGCTGTTTCTGTGACATGGGAACATCAGGAGATGTTCACCACCAGGAACACCAGGAACAGAGCTGTGGAGCTCCATCAGTGTGGCTCAGTTTGAATACAGTTTGGTGCCATTTACAGTTAAGAAACACAGAAAGTTTCTCTCTTTACTCTGAAAGTTAACAAATATGTTTTTATATTTATCTAAAAAATAAACATTTAGTCTGATTTGATGTTACAATTAAAAAAGTGTTTTTATCT